AACAATGTTTGCGGCGCCGCAGGTTAATTCACGGCTTTTGATGGAAGCCGAGCGAAGGCTGTGTCGCTGCTGCGAGCGGGAGAAACCATAGCAATTAGAAAAGCCAGTGTGTGTGTGTGTGTGTGTGTGTGTGTGTGTGTGTGTGTGTGTGTGTGTGTCGTATACTGTATATGTGCTGTGTGTGTGTGTGTGTGTGTGTGTGTGTGTGGTGTGTGTGTGGTGTGTTGTGTGTGTGTGGGTGTGTGTGTGTGTGTTGTGTTTGTGTGGTGTGTTGTGTGTGTGTGTGTGCGTTGCGTCGCGTGCGTGTTGTGTGCTATGTGGACTGGGTCTGTGCATGACCGCGCTGGGGCAGAAATGAAGTATGTAGGCAGGGGCTTTTAACAATGAGACCGCTCAGACACGCCTCAGACTTCCATTGTGCCGTCTCGCTAATCCATTTCCACCCAACAAAGCGGCTGCCCTCCAAAACCGTCTGCCCTGAAGCTCTGGCTGCCAGATTCCAAGCTTTGTGACTTCCAGAGCCATTTTTAAGCTCTCTCTGGCAGCACTGCTGTGTTGAAACAAAGCCCTACATGTTTTCAGCATTGAAGCAGCTCTGTACTTTGTTTGAATTGCATGTGTGTAAAGTGGGGTTTACTATGAGCGCTGCACTTGAGAAAAATGATGAATTGAATGTTTTATTTATGATACTATTTAGATACTTAATATTTTGGTCCTCCATTTTTAAAGTAGATTGAATGCAGAAGCATTATTTGAAAGAGGATTTGCACATTGGTTGTTTGCGCTCGACTATTAAGAACAATTCTTCTTTTATCCGTTAAATATTCTTGAATCCTTTCTCTGGATCTTAAGACCTACCATTAGAGAGAACAGAATACGTTTGGTTTACTGAAAATACTGAGCCGTTGACTTTAAATAAATGTGAATTACGTGTATTGCTTTCTACGACCCGGGCAATACAGTTGTATGAAATCTGCTTGACATATACAGGACTGGGCTTATCTAAAGCCAGTGTAGCTAGCAACTTGAAATTGTTTGTGCTCTAGAACCTGATTGAACTTACAGTTAATGTGATTCTGTTTCCTTTCAAGTTTGTATCTTCTTGGATCGAATGCACTTAAAGTTGCTTTGGGAATAAAAAGTGTCAGCTAAATGTTAAATGTAATGACACGTATTATAAAGTCAAACGGTTTCAGTTTTTTCAATATGTCGATTAATCAGAACAGGTTTTGTCCTTTGATCAAAATAATTCGCTTTTAATACTTTTAGTTGAACATGAATATTTTGCGTTTTTTATGTCTCTAGTATTTGTGCCTTTTTACCTCGTTTTTAATTTATTTTTTATTATTTTTACTCAGCACTTTGGGTCAA